TCGGAATAATTAAAACAATCATTAACATAAATAAATAACAGTGTCCTATCTATACACATTTTTCCCAGAACTTTCTTGCGACCCGGTAGCAATTCGGGTTGCGACCCGGTTGTTGGGGACCTCTGGTCTAGATTAACGTTGAATAATGAAAAGAGAGGTTTAGAGCCATTTTTTTGTTTATGTATGTGAAATTTAGCTAGCAGGATATACAAATTAAGTTATATGTTCCCATATTCTCTTTCGAGTAGTCAAACAATCCAAAGAAAACATCTTTAAAACTGAATGAAAATTCACTTACAAAATAAAATTGGATGAACATTAAAAAATCTGACCAAAATTTATCTGTGTGGGTACATTGCCAAAACAAGTAAATGACATCTTCCTCAGAAGAACAACAAAAACAGCAACTCACTTCAATGTCTGACTTAAATTATAATTACGTCCGTATGCTTTTTGTGAAATGTGGATTCATTTATTAATCTGTTGCTTGACCTCTTATATTTCAGGAGAGAACTATAGTTTCCAAAGTTTCACTTGTTATGATTTTCAAGGACGTAGTAGGGATGCTATGACATGTCCCTACCAATATCCAGCAGCTACTAAATTGTCCCTAGCAATAATTTTGATCAAACAATTAAATGTCTGTTGTCTGCAGTTATGTCCCCACCAATGCCAAAATCAAACCTACGCCCTTCGTTAATATTTAAGATAAAATTACAATACCTAGAATGAATACCATAATACCATAAATAATAATATAAAAACACCTTAATATAAAAATGTCAATAGCAATAAATGTTACACCTGGGATTAGTCTGTGTATCTCCCCTCTTAAAATGTACCGGGTGCCCCATAGAGCAGTCACTCTTCATAGACACACAGCTGGGCTCTGGTTCTGATCTCTTCTGCTGAAAGGAACTATAACAGAAAATATTGAATCCTTTATCATAATGATCATTTTATTTTAAGGTCTTAAATAAATGTGTCACTTTTATATGGAGCCAGATCGGCCTCAAAAATAACACATTTGCAA